GCATCCCTACAAAGCCGGGACGGAGCACGCCGGGTTCTCACCGGACCAGGCTCTCACATCACCAAGCGCGAAGCGCCGTGAGATATTCGGCGAGTCGCATGAAGGGTGAGCTGCATCCTGCTAAGGGTGTTCGGCATCTTGTGCTTACTTCCTTGCGTACGGATGACAGCTGCGTATGACTTAATTTACTTTCTGGTGCTTTCACTTCCTGAGACAGTTGTAAGCACTGTGTAACTGCCTCGAGGGTGCTTGACCATTTTAACACAACGTGGTGCGATCATCCCCCTTGCGCGGAGTGAGGGTTCTCCACCCCGCACAACATGATCTACTCGACCACCATTATGGTTACCGCCAAAAAAAAAAACGGAGGTAAAAAAAAAAAACGGTAACCTGGTTGCCGAGTTCACGAAGTGAATTGGCTTGTTTTACAACGTCGTTGCCAAGCGACGAAAACCCAACCCCGATGGTAAACACCGGGGGGGGGAGAGAACCAGCTGGGTCGGATAATTTCATGTTATGGTTTCAGCTCGTGATTCTGGGGTGAATTGGAATCGGGTTACAGGGTGAATTGGAATTCTAGCTTGATATTGCAGCGGATATATTGCTGGTGAAGGTTTTTCCGACGTTCTCTACACATTAGGTGGGGTTTTATCTCCTGTCTCCTTTGCCTGCGAGCATCAATAGTCGCAAATTTGACGTTTGGGGAGAACATACTAGCATAGTGACTGCTGTTTGAGTATTTTGGTACATGTTGAGGTGAAATTGGAGAAGGTTCCAAGACGCATTCTTTGACACACCGGACTTCCTTCAGCTTTCTGATGTTGACGATCGAATAATGTGTTTTTCTGGGCTTTTGGGGGATCGGCGCGTTCTTGGCACGCACGATCGGGGGAGGTTTCCATGAGCGTTTCATGACACGCCGGATTTTTTTCTTTATTCTGCCTCTCCTGTTCATACCTGTATCTGCTTGTGGGCACTTTGTCGAGGAAGGTTTTGCCATGTTCTGATGAGTACTAGGTGGAGCTACATATCTATGTACTGTCGTTGCTTGTTTTGAGTTGGACACTATGTTGAGATAGGATTTTAGTTTGAGGTTTGAGTTCGGACATTATGTTCGGACAAGATCTGAGTCTGAATTTCTCTCTAGGGTGTTTACTCTGTTTTAACCACCCTCTCGAGAATTTGTTGAAGTTGGTTGATTCGTACGAAAACGAGGAATGGATGGCATTAAAGTTCAGAGGAAGTTCAGTGGTGGCAAATGATTCAAAATTCGTTTGTGATTTCATGTCTTGCGTCAGGAGTTTGGAGGAGAGCATTTTTTGCAGAGGATCGGATCGCTTGATGTCTGACGATTGGGTGGATACGCGGTTATGATGGGGTTTGTGGACGGAACCTCCCTCTCTCCCGGCGGGTCTCCCAACCTCTTTGTTCGCTCACGAAGAATCAAGGTTTTGAGTCAACCTTCTCTCGTCGCCATCATGAGGACGACGCTGCTAGCACCCAGACAGGGAATGAAGATTGAACGTTGAGTGTGCAACAGCACCTTCGGAGGAGGTGTAACGTCAGCCTGCCACACATGCCGTGGCCATAATGGCACGAGTTCGACTAGCGGAGACGCCAAGTCTGTGTGGGGAATGAATATAGGGCATGACCGTCTTTTCGGCACGGAACTATTCTTGGTGTACTCAAGTGACGATATTACCATTGTACCCTTGAAAACATTTGCCGAGAGCCCTCTCTGGTCCTTGATACAATATCTCTCGCCATTGGTGGCGCGAAGAGTCGCAATTTGGAATTTTGGCCACAAGGGGTGTTGTCTCTCGCCATTTTGGAAAATCTCTTTTATGATCCTCGCACGTGTTTTCGAACCACATAAGTTTTTTCAACCCAGACGATGCCCACAACTATGCGGCTTCTTCCAACAACTTCGAGGTCAATCGAAGCACGTGGTGACGAGATACCGCCGTCCATAACCTGTTGCAGGTTGCGCCGCGGCCCGCCCCGAACCGAAGCCTTGTCTTAACCCGCCGCCAGGCACGCCCCCTCTCCCAGCGTTGAAGATAGGCCGCAGGACTAATGTGCAGGTTGCCGCAACGCCACGCCGAAGACATATTGCGGCAGTTCAGTGCCCTGTAGGGCCCCTCCGAATGCCACAAACTACATTATGACATCGAATCATCGGCATAACATCGCAGGGTGTCGTTGCCCAAAACATGTTTCACTGTCAGCTTCGAGGACGGTCACTCGTCGAGAGAACCGATACGCACCTGTAACAATACTCTGCGGTTTCGGTAGCACGACACGGTGGTCGAAGTCAGCGTGAACGTGCGTCAAAATCTGTAACATCCCAAAGAAAGTGGTACATGTCGCTGAAGAATAGAGCTCCACGGAAATACAGTCTCGACGAAGTTCACTCATCCATATCCTTCGATGACATGCATAGGCCGGGCTTTCGGTGTCCCAAGTTGGGGTGTGAAACCGAGTCCCGACTTTTTCCAAACATGCTGTTTCACTGTCGAACCCCGAGTTAGAAGTTCACTTTCATTCTTGTCCATGACATTCATAACGAGGGCTGTCTGTGCCAGAGGTCCCGGTGTCGCACCGATTCCCGACTCCGACACGCGTATATCCATGGTTTGATCGAATCAGGTTTGATCGAATCACAGGCATCGCAGGGTGTCGTTGCCCAAAACATGTTTCACTGTCAGCTTCGAGGAGGGTTACTCGTCGAGAGATCCGATATGCACCTGAAACAATACTCTGCGGTTTCGGTAGCACGACACGGTGGTCGAAGTCGGAGTGAACGTTCGTCAAAATCTTTGACATCCCAAAGAATATGGTACTGTACCATGCCGTTGGAGAAACAGAGCTCCACGGAAATAAATACAATCTTGACGAACGTTACTCATCCACAGTCTTCGATGACATTCAAAGGCAGGGCTTTCGGTGTCTCAAGCTTCGGTGTGACACCGAGTCCCGACTACTTCAATACACTCTGTATCACCGTCGTAACCCCCTAAGTGAGAACTTCACTCCTTCATTCTTGTCCATGACATTCACATCGAGGGCTTGTGTGTGCCCGAAGTTCCGGTGTCGCACCGACTCCCGACACCGACACACATATCTCCCTTGTTCGATCGAATCAGAGGCATTACATCGCACGGGGCCGTTGCCCAAAACCAGTTTCATTGTCAGCTTCGAGGAGGCTTGCTCGTCGAGGGGACCGATGTGTATCTGGAGCCAAATCTCTGCCTCTTCAGTATTTCAGTCGAACGGCACTCTTGAATAGTTACATGTGAAAATACTGCGAAACCCACACGAAAATAATCCAGTATATAATGGCACCACGTCGGTGAATATGAAGAGGAAACGAATCTGACAAAAGTCACTCCTTCTGTCGTCCATGGAATTCGCAGCAGATTCGACGGTATTCGGTTATACACCAACGGTGACAAGCGAGGAAAATATCACCGGGAAACCCACCTTGCGCTCCCGCCCAATCGCATTTCTCCGAAACGTATGCACAGTTTGA